CAAGTCAACCATGGGAGTCTTCAACCACCAGCTGTCCTCAACAAGGTCAACTATCAACTCCACCCTCAGGCCAGCAGCATACACCGGCATGGGCCTTGCTGATTACCGCCATCTCGTGGATAGCCTGCCCACTGAGCTACACCCAACGACCTGGTTCGATGACGATCAACTCCTAGCCGAGTACAGAGATGGTATGTGCAACTCGAAAACACAATATGCCCTACCATATGCCAGTTGGCAGCTACATATCACCGTGCGATGTGGCTCACCCTGACACTCATCCCCCCACTTGATTTCTCTACAAAACCCTTTCCAACCCATACCCTCCCTGCCAAAAAACAGAACAATGGGCCCTCAACTGGCACTTTGACAAGGCCACCGGGACGCCCTTCAGCAACCCCTTGTTCGCTTATGCGTTCAAGATCTCCTTCAAGAGGGGCGGGGCGGTGTTCACCAAGTTCAAGAGCCGCATGGTGGCATGGGGCCTGTTTTCGGTAAGGATGTAGATATGCGTTTGTACCCCCATGCCTCATCCCCTTAACCCCTTGCCTGTACTTCAACCCTAATCCCTGGTCGATTAGGCCTTTGCAGTTACGTAGATAGTGACGACTGCATCACCGCTTTCAGTTGCGTCATGTACCCGTAACCTACCCTCCTCATAAACCACCCACCCAACCCTACTACACCACATTGCAGATCGAATGGCCCCTTCTGCAGGATAAGCGTCGCAAGCGAATCAGTAGCCAGCCAGAGCAGAACAGGCCAGACTACCAGGAGTGGTGCGAAAAGGTCAAACAGATGATCCATTTTGCTGTCGTGGAGCGGAGGATCCCCCACGATCCGGCTATGGGTGCGTTCGTCTTTCCGAACAAGTTCCTCATCGACGACGGCGACCTTGGAGATGTCGTCCTTGCCCACCGGGCGCTTTCAAGGCCCGCCAATGCGTAGGCTATTTGACCTGGTGCTAAGACTGATTGTTGCTAGCATGCTGAATAATGGTTCTTGTAAACCGCAATAATAAATGCAATTTTGAAATCCCCAAAATCCAAAATGAACAAAAACAGAATTTAGTATTGAATAAATTGGTCACGAATTTGCAACAAAACGGATTGCGTCGGAATGTCATCCGCAAAAGCTCGCGTGCCAAATTGGAACTTGAACCGAGCCAAGCCTTGTCGCGAGATGTGTCTCGGAGCTCCTATCAAATGACTCCAACCGTCGGTCCAAATTGGCTACGGATTTTTTTACGCGAAGATAATCAAAATCAAAATTCGACCAAACTTGGCATAGGGTTTTTGTGATGTACATCCCTTTCCATCTTACCCTTCCGTCAATGCACACAAGTTGCAATCACAACTGGTCGGACCGATTGTATCGCGCCACTTGTTTGTGCTTTGGTTGGTTCCTTCCGCCCAACTTGTAAATAACCCTCGCCACTTTTGTTTGCTACCACCCAAGTGCACTATTCAATTCTAGTGCACCGTCACCCCTCCGCCCTAAGTTCCGTCACCCAACCCAACTGGACTAGGTTGGAGGGAAGTGTCGTGGGGACCACATGTCCCCAACCGACCTCCAATACACTCTTCCTCAGTCAGTTCGTGATGGCGGAAAGAAGCGGCGGTGCTGGCAACAGCAGGTTGCTATCTCTCCCCGACGAGCTTCTCCAATTCATTCTCGGCCTCGCAGATCACGCAACCGATCACCGCAACATTGCTCTCTCCTGCTCCCGCCTCCGCCGCCTCTCTCAGCGCACGCCACATGCATTCCAACTGGAGTTCTACTCCAGGTCAAGGGCTTCGAATCCGCGAGAATGGCTGAAAACGTTCGACGACTATTCAAGGGTATTTACCCACATGAAGGATCTGACCGTGGAGATTACCCGTGGTCTCGGGAACCAGCTGATGGCGGGGATCGCAGCGGGCTGCCCGAAATTGGAAAAGCTGAAGCTGGTGGTGGCGGCTTGGGATAGTTTCAACGTCAACGGTCGAGCGTGGCGAAATCTCGTGAAGCAATGCCCGTGAGTTGACGTTTTCCTGCATCTTCTCTCACTCTGAACCCTTTGCTCAATCCACGCCTTCTTCACCGTCAGTCCGTTCGTCCCTCCGTCTGTCCCTCTCTTGGTTTCTCCGTCCGTCCGTTTGTCCGTCAGTTGGTTCCTTTGTTCATCATGTCGGGCTGTTAACAATCTCTTAAACAAGCCGTAACGCCCTGAATGGAGCACCAGGGCAAAGTTGTGCTCGTTCTTGTCTCCTCGCCCCGCTCCCTCCCCAACTCCCCCTTTCGCTCCCTTTTTCTTCCCCATCCTTCCCCCCCCACCCCCCAACACCCATCCCTCCCCCCATCCATCCGTTTCTATCGCGTGTTTCAGCGGTCTCTCCTTGCAAACTAAGACCACCATCGCGAAATTCTGAGTGTGCACAAAATGTACACGGTAGCTTTCCATGCGGGAAAACTTCGGAAAAGCTTCCGAAAAGCTTCGGCGCTCACATTCACAGCTGGGTGGCCAAAGTGACTTCACTCTGACAAATGGCCATCACTATGACGCAATCACAAAGTGACAAAAAAGAAGCTTTCGCCACTCTACAACCAATTACACAATCACCCACATGGAGTTCCGCGTGGTACAACGTGTTTCATTGTGGTTTTCCTTTCCAAGAAAGAGACGAAGCTCACGAAATGTTACACTGTTCTGACCAAAAGTTTGAACATTCGAGAACCAAACCACCAACCAACAAGCAGCGCGACAATCTCAAGCCAAACGAAATTAGCGAAGAACCAAATTGTCGCCAGACACTAACACCCAACGTGTGTTGCGTGGTACCCAACCAGCGGACGTTTTTTAACCAATCAAGAGAGGAACCAAACACTCTCCCACCAATCAACACGATTCCTTATCTCCACGTCAACACTTCACCTACCACCTCCAGAACCTTCTTGAACCATATTCTCGACCACTTCTCAACCATTTCTTCTCAACCTGTTTCTCAACAGTCTTTCCTTCTTGTTCACTCTCATCCCTCGCCCACTTCTCCCTTTTCCAAATCTATCCGCCATTATTCGCTGACGGAATGACGCTCTAATGTGCCTCATGGTGCCATGCTGTGCTTTCGGTTGAGAACTCCTAAAGCTAACTTTGAATTATTCGTTTCTTTTTGTGCCGTCTGACTGTTGGCTGCAGGTACGGTTCAACTATTAATGTCAACTGGGTTCGTCTTACTACCGCAATGCGGATAGCGCACATCGTGTTGCATGTTCCGGTACGTCGCAGCATGTCTCGCTTTTCCGTTTTATGCTTTTATCGAAGTAGACGCTCTTTTCCAACCCATCAGGTCTCGCGCGCTTACTATGCGGTGCACAGAATGCATCTGTAAGGTGAGGATGGTCTTTCGTATTGTATGTGCATTCTCTCTTATGTCCTGTGCGCAGATGTGTCTTCCTTGCCGTCACCATGCCACGTTATTGTATGTCAGATGAAATCGCGTACAGGACAGGTAAGAAGTCGTGAGTACCCTCTCGTTTGAATCACTTGCATTGTTGACTCCCTGTTGTGCTGCGTACACTTGGACGTCTGTTAATCTAACATTGGATTTTGCAGATATCCTGGCTTACATCAGTTTTTGCAGGTACCATGGCCAAGAGGGAAAAAACGACTTTGCGTTTGTTGCGATTTGATGTTTCTGTTTTTATGTGTGTTTCATAACTCCAAGCTAAAGTGGTTGAAAGGACAGCAATGTTTGTGTCTGTTGAAGTACTTCATGTAGATTATTTGTTGTGCCAGATCATGTTGAAAATGGTGTTAGTGCGAATTGTTAGCTCTGATGTACTAGGATTGTATTTATAAAAGTCTATTTTTCTCAAAGTACATATATTCTTCACACATTTTATTGCGTGGGCCAATATGCGTCTCGAAATCTGATTGGTCCGCGTGGCATTTTTCGGTCCACTATTCACCTTGACACCTGGCATAAAATATCTGAAAACGAGGCGTTCATGTATCCACGTGGCAAAAGTGGACTTAAAGTTGCTTACCTTCAGACAAATGTCACTTCCGATCAGGGCCCAAAATTGGTTTTAGTGCTCCCTTGCTAATCAGGGTGCCTTGCTGACGTCACCCTGTCTATCAGGATGGAAAAAAAAATACCCTGTCAAAATCAGGGTAAAATGAGAGCGGTGAAAGAACACCCTTTTTGTGTAAGGGTAAATGTTCCTTTCTGTTTTTTATCACACCTTATACGGTATTCACTTCATTAGCTTGTAGCGAGACCTTGCTTGCTTTCCACAACGTGGGCGATAAAAATGTCGGAGTGTTGAGGGTCGAGGGGAATGGGGGGACAGGGGCTGGGATATGTGAAGGAAATAGGGGGGGGTTGAAGTTTGGGGAGCCGAAAGAAACGGGGAAAAGGGTGGGGGGGGGGGCGGGGGGGATGCGGGGTGAGGCTGGAAGTGACGAAGGGAACGGGGCCCTGATCAATCGGAAGAGGTGAACAGTTTGGGGAAATCGGGCCTGGGACTCCGAGCCTCCGAGAAAGGGGATTGGATGAGGGGGAGGCGAGGCGAGCAGGGCTGGGAGGCGAGCAGATTTTAGCGGCCTGTCATTTCCTGGTTCAGTACGTTTTTTTTTTGCATCTTGCCTGGCAAGGCTAAAAGTCAAGGCACCCTTGCAAAATCAGCCTACTCTGTAAGTCTACACTTTTGCAGAAAGGGGAACAGACAAAAAGGCTGTCAAAATCAGGGTAAACTCTGAAAACTGGCCGTTGGTAAGTGTAATCAGTGTGTTTTACCCTTGAAAAATAGGCCCTCCTTCCGATGTCACTTTTAGTTGGGTTGTGTGGTTGCGATATGGCCGTTCTTTTGCAGCTTTGTCGTCACATTTCCGCAACTTCGAAAGTCACCCCGCCCCAGAAGCATTTGACCTAGACTTTTTTCTTGCAAAACCCAAGTTGCGGAAAAGCAACTTTGAAGCTGCTGGCGCGCAACTTTTAGGGCCTCACACTTTCGCGATGACGTGCCTCTTGCATCCACCATTCTTCTCTCTTCACTACTCCCTCTTCACCCCTCCCTCTTCCCTTCTCCCTCTTCGTCCCGCTCCCCTCCCAACTCACCCCGTTTTCCCCTCGTGCAGGCCCATGAGTGGAGCTAATCCTGCTCTAAAGGCGTTCGCCTTTCTCTCAGCCACAGTAGCTCTCACCCCCCATGCACGACCTCCTCTCGCTGCAATCCCTCTCTCCTCTTCCTCTCCTCCGCTCCCTTCCGTCCTCACACCTTACCTCTGCATGCAGGCTCTTGGCTTCATCGGAGCTAAGCGCACGTGTCTCCTACACACGACAACCGCCACTCCCCCCAGTGCACCAATTCCCCTCACTGCAGTTTCTCTCTCTCCTCTACGCTCCCTCCAACTACCTCTCCATTCGCCGCTGCTCCTCCCTCACCTCTCTCACCCTCGGGAACCCCAAATCTTCCACGCTTTCCTCCCTCGCCTTCTCCTCCCCCTCCCTTGTCTCCTCTTCCTCGTCCTCCTCCTCCTCCTCCTCCCCTCTGGCGTCCTTCCCCCCATCCTCTCTCCGCACGTCTCTCACGTCCCTCACGATCCACTCTCCCAAGCTTCAGGGCTCCCTCGCTTCCCTTGCCTTCGTCCCCTCCCTCTCGTCCCTCTCCCTCCACTCCTGCACTGTCGACCCCTATGAGCTGTCCTCCCTCTCACACTCCCTCCACTCCCTCACCCACCTCATAGTCCACTCCTGCCCGCTCGTCTCTTCCCGCTCCCTCATCCCCATCCTCCAAGCCAACCCTGCTCTCACCTCCCTTTCCCTCCATGGAACAACCTACCGTCTCTTTGGTCCATAGGGATTCCGCGCCCTGCTCTCGCGCTGTTCCTCCCAGCTCCACTCCCTCAACCTCACTGCTTTCCCCTGCTTCCGCCCGGGCTTGTTTGCAGCCTGCACTGCCCTGCGGTTGCTCAGTGTGGAAGGGATTGGTGAATCCTCCTGCTCCGTTTCTTGGAGAGGCGTATCATTGGACGGCATTGCGGGAATGCTCGTGTGGGTGGAACAAACAGGAGGAAGGACAGGGGGGGAGGCAGGAGGGGACGGAGGAGGGGAAGCAGGAGGGGAGGCAGGAGGGGACGGAGGATTGGAAGGAGGAGCGGATGCGTGGGAGAGAGGACGAGGTAGTGCTCCTGCAGCAGCTGCAGAAGCGGCAGTATTACCAAAGGGGAGCAACAAGCAGTGCGGAAAGTATGTGGATATTCGCACAGAGGCAGAGGCAGCACAGGCGGACAAGCTGGTAGCAGTGGGTGAGGTTCCCGATTTCATCGGGACTGCTGCGCAAACCAGTAGAGCCGCCTTGTCCGAGGTCACTGAGGTGGCGCGAGCAGGGGGCGAGAGTGCTGTGGCTCGGATTATTGCCAGCTTCGGGAAGATCAGGTTCTGGATCTCGGTGTGCCGGTCCTGCTCTGACATCCGCGAGTACAATGCGGTTATGGATTGGGAGGAAAAGCTGATGAGGTCAGCTGGTGCTGTTGCCGGCCGGGCAACAGGGTACTTTGCCACGGAGGTGAATGGTGGAGAAGAGGTCAGGGATGGGGAGGAGGAACAAGGATTTGAAATAATGGACAGCACACCGGCTGATGAAGCCTTGCCTGAGAGGGTGCTGGGTGGGGAGCGGTCTGGTGCGGTGGAGACACATGTAGAGGCTATGCGGAGGCTGGACGCGCTGGTAGATATGCTGCAGAAGGCAGCGTGTGGCCTGTGTGATAGCTCCCGGACCATGCGCAAACCTCCTGGTCTTACAGCTGCTTCTGTGCGGTCAGGGGCTGTTGCGGCGGCAGTAGCAGATGGAAGAGCAGCTTTGCATGGAGTGGAAGGAGGGGCAGCAGAAGCAGCAGATGGAAGAGTAGCAGTGAACAGAGTGGGAGGAGGGGCGGCAGAAGCAGCAGATGGAGGAGTAGTAGTGATCAGAGTGGGAGGAGGGGCAGCAGAAGCAGCAGATGGAAGAGTAGCAGTGAACAAAGTGGGAGGAGGGGCGGCAGAAGGATTGCAGCAGGCGGAAAGCGCACTAGAAGATGGAGGGCCATCCGGGCCGGCAGCAGGGGAGGCGGCAGCAGGGGAGGCAGCAGCAGGGGAGGCAGCAGCAGGGGAGGCAGAAGCAGGGGAGGCGGCAGCAGGAAATGCGGCAGCAGAGTGTGAGAAACTAAGCAGCAGCGAGTCAGGAGGCAATAGTGCTAAAGGCTGCCAGCCAGCAATCCCTGTGCAAGTGTTGTGCCCTCCACTGGAATCGTTGACCCTAAAATTGTTCCACTTCTCCTCCACTCTCTGTGTTCTTTGGCTGCCCCTGCACATCTCCTCGCATGTACCTCTCCCCACCCCCTCCACCACCACCTTCCCATTCTTGTCTCTCATCCTCCTCCTCCTGTGCGTCCCTCGCCTCCTCCTCCTCTGCCTCAGTCCCACGCATTCGGCCAATGTCCTTCCAGTCCATTGCTCGAGCGGCTGTTTTTGGACAGCTCAAGCGGCTTGCGCTGTTGTTCTGCTCGGGGTTAGAGGAGGAGTGGCTTGAATTGCTTGCGGCATGTGTTCAGCTGGAGCTGGAGGAGTTTACGGTGCAACATAGTGACAAGTTTTCAGATGCAGTGGTGGTGGGAAGCAGACTGGGAACGCTCACTAGCTTGACGGTGGTCATGTGTGATAAGGTCATGGCAGCAGGCATTGGAGGTGTGCTTAGGAGCTTCCCTAGATTGCGGTACTTGAAGGTGGAAGTCGGCAAGGTCTCGGAAAGGGTTCGGAGAGAGTTGATTCGTGCTGGTGTGATTGTGAGGGGTGTTCGATGTATCTGATAGGTGCAATGTGTCACTTGTGGGCACAGAATACCATACCATGCATGCTGTTCTGTAAATATATGAAAATATTTCTGTTGGGTTGAAGGGAAAATTATGGACAGGATGACAGCAGTTATGTGCGAGACATGTGTTAGACATATAGCCTAGCCAAGACCAAGGTTTGCGCCGAGAGAATGCTAGACATCACAGATCAGGTACACAGTATGGGTTGTTTAGGCCCAAGGGAGCAATACGTTCCATTCTGGCAGTATCAGAGCTACCAAGTCAGCGACACGACAGTTTTGCTTCAGTCCTGGCAGTTGTGTTGTGTAGAATAAAATCTCAGAATGAGGTGCAATGGTTCAGACACACATGCAAAAACTCTCAAAACACACAACACACAGAAGTCCTGGCTTTACAGCTATACAGATATGTTCAGTTTCACCAGATGTACACCTATGCCCCTCAAAAGCCCGAAGCTAAGGTCATAAACTCCATCCGAGCTCGTCAAATCTCTCTCCACCCCTCTCCACTCCTTTACGCGCCGGGGACGAAGTTCTGCGCATATGCCCACGCGTTGTTGGCGGTGGGGTCGGCGAGGTGGTCCGCGAGGTTCTCGAGGGGCCCCTTGCCCGTCACGATGGCCTGCACGAAGAAGCCCAGCGCCGACACCTGTGCGAGGCGCCCGTTCTTGAGCTCCTTCACCTTCAGCTCCGCCGCCGCGTCGGGATCGTCCGCCAGCCCCAGCGGGTCGAACGCGCCGCCCGGGTAGATCGGATCCTCCACCTCCTGGAACCCCTCCAAACCACCCACGCGGTAGCTCTCCACCGCGCCCAGCAGCACCACCTGGGGAACGACGCATCGGGTTACCACGTTTCACAGAGATGCGTGAGCGCGTGTGTTTCGCGCAAACTCGCGATATTTAACGACGAGGAAAGGGTCTTGACGGAAATGACGGGGCCGAAGCAGGGAATGTGAGAAGAGAGGACATAAAAATTACAGATTAACGGAGCGCGGCAAGCGCATCAAGGAAAGGTAAGAGAGACCTGAACAGCGAACATACCTGAACGGCGAGCGTGGCGAGGATGCTCTGCGCGTGGATGAGCGCGGGGTTGCCCAGGTAGTCGAGCCCTCCCTCTGAAAAAATCTGCGCGCCCGCCTTGAACCACACCGCCTCTTGCAGCGGCACGCCGTTGCGCGCCAGCAGCTCGGGGAAGACGATGCCAAGCGCGCCGAGCATGGCCCAGCGCGAGTGAATCACCTCCACATCACAAAAAAGGCCCGTTTTCAATTGCGGGGAAAGGGGTTGAAAATGGGTTCTGAAGTTGGGTTTGCGTGGGTGCTGCAATTTCTTTCGCCCAACCTCCTGCGAAATGCGTCGCTTCTCAATGTTTGGGTTGTTTTCGCGGCATCCACCCGACTCGCAAAACAGATAGCGCCGCGGCGAAACCAGATTGGCCGAATGTTGGCCAATTTATGGTGTGCTGTCCTGGCTTTGACTTCGTTGAAAGCAGAGTTTCGAGGCTGAGAGAGTCGACCCGCGAAATTTTCCAATTTCGTGGAGCAACTTTTGTCCGCGCGAGCAGCTTGGCGCTTCGGACCCACAGGGGTGGACCCATTTCGGAACAATTCCAGGCCAACTTTGGCCTGCTTTTCTTATGAGTAATTGGTTTGTGGAATATGTATGCAATGATTTGTGTTAACTCTTAAGGAATGCTGGAACGCCCATACGTATTAATAGAACCAGAAAACATATTTATTGAAAGTGCATGCATCATTCAGAGTGTCATTATTATTACTGGAATCACACGTAAAACCTATAACAACAGGTACTTATTCAAGTAAAACAAGTTCGCACTGTGGAACGACTTCACGACCTGCACCTGCCTTTTTATCGAATCGCAGTCAATGACTGAATACTGGGAGGTGCCAGTCGTCCATGTCAGACGCTTGCATCCGGTTTTCGTGTCTTCGCCTGCCGCAGACCAATACCTAACAAAGGCCAAGTCATGGGTGACCCCTCTATGCTTGGCCTGGAAAATCAAGAGGAGTCTTCCATACCACTCCTCATCACTCCCCTCTCTTGTTTCCCCTTTGATTGCCACATCTGAGAACCAAGGCTTGTCATGGGACTTTGGCGTTGCCTTGAGAAAATGGGCGGTTCGAGCAAAACCAGCATCTTCGGCTGCAGGGATCGCAAGAGTTGTGTGGGCCTGCATCAATGGAAATGCCGACATATTAGCGGAATACCTTGTTAGTCAATGTTCCCCCCTGTAGCAATATCTCATTCTCACCCTAACTGTGGCTGGCGCCAGCTGCTTACGTGCAAGGGCACTCTTGAACTGAATGTGAGCCTCGACGTGTTGTTGCGCCCACATTTGCGCGAACCAATTTCGTGATCGGAACTCTGTCGGATCGACTTGCAAGGAGTATGAGTCTCTTGTCATGACCCTTCTCCCTTCTTCTATTGCCTGCACATATTACGCACAAGTAAGCGACATCAAGTGCCCATAAATCCTAGCATGCAATCTGAAAGAGTTGCTGTACAGTACCTTCTGCATTGCGATCTGTCGACCATTCTCATTTTCCTTGACAAGTGTGAAATCCAGGCGCAGCTCATGATGCTTCATGATCTGCGAGTCTGCGTTCCGTTTGTTTGAACGTCGATACACCTGTTTGAGCAGCGGCCCATGCAAGTGCTCAAAGGTGTTCGTGCTGTACTCGTGCACATATCCTGCACGACGAATTGCTTGAGCAAAGTGCGTCATGAGATGCGTCTTCACAAGATTCCACGCAGAAGCCTGCTCCGGGAAGGCTTGCTTCAGCAACTCCACAAGCCTGCCACGGATGCATAGGGGTGAAAGAGGAGAGGTAAGAGTGGAGGTCGGATTGAGGTTCAACAGGTGAGTTGTCAGACGCAGTAGTCAAGAGAATTGCATGATATGCGGAATGGGGATGGGAGCAGTGGGGAGAGGAGCAATAGGGATGGGACCAACGAGGATGGGACCAATGCGGATGTGAGCAGTTGGGATGAGAGCATTGGAAATGGGAGAAGTGGGTATGTGAGCAGCAGGGATGTGAGTAGTGGGGATGGAGGCAACGGGGATGTGAGCTAGGGAGATGTGATCGGTGGGTTTAGGAGCAGTAGGGATGTGAGCAGTGGGGCTGGAAGTACTGGGAATGGAGCAAGGGGAACAAGAGCAATGGCGACGGGAGCAATGGCGACGGGAGCAATGGGGATGGGAGCAATGGGGATGGGAGCAATGGGGATGGGAGCAATGGGGATGGGAGCAATGGGGATGGGAGCAGTGGGGATGGGAGCAGTGGGGATGGGAGCAGCGGGGATGTGAGCAATGAGGATGTGGGCAGTGGGTATGCGAGCAGTGGGGATGGAAGCAACAAGGATGGGAGCAATGGGGATGGGAACAGTGGGTATTGGAGCAATAGGTTTATGGTGCAACTGGGATGTGAGCAGTGGGGATGTTAGCAGGCATTGTGTGACAAAACAGGAGGTTTACAGGGGTGTTATAGCACAATGGAGAGGTAAACGATGGGGATAAGGCACAATGGGGAGGTAAACACGAGGGGACAAGGTACAATGGGGAGGTAAACACGGGGGGATAAGGTACAATGGGGAGGCAAACACGGGGGAATAAGGTACAATGGGGAGGTAAACACGAGGGGATAAGGTACAGTGGGGAGGTAAACACGGGGGAATAAGGTACGATGGGGAGGTTAATACGGAGGGATAAGGTACGATGGGGAGGTAAACAAGGGGGTTGAGTCACAGTGGGAGATAGACAAAGGGAATCTGGCATGTGAGAGAGGTAAACAGGGGGGAGAAGGCACAAAGGGAGGTAAACACGGGGGGATAAGGCATAATGGGAGGTAAACACGGGGGGATAAGGTACAATGGGGAGGTAAACACGGGGGAATAAGGTACAATGGGGAGGTAAACACGGGGGAATAAGGTACGATGGGGAGGTTAACACGGAGGGATAAGGTACGATGGGGAGGTAAACAGGGGGGTTGAGTCACAGTGGGAGATAGACAAAGGGAATCTGGCATGTGAGAGAGGTAAACAGGGGGGAGAAGGCACAAAGGGAGGTAAACACGGGGGGATAAGGTACGATGGGGAGGTAAACACGAGGGGATAAGGTACAATGGGGAGGTAAACACGGGGGGATAAGGTACAATGGGGAGGTAAACACGAGGGAATAAGGTACAATGGGGAGGTAAACACGGAGGGATAAGGTACGATGGGGAGGTAAACAGGGGGGTTGAGTCACAGTGGGAGATAGACAAAGGGAATCTGGCATGTGAGAGAGGTAAACAGGGGGGAGAAGGCACAAAGGGAGGTAAACACGGGGGGATAAGGCATAATGGGAGGTAAACACGGGGGGATAAGGTACAAAGGGGAGGTAAACACGAGGGAATAAGGTACAATGGGGAGGTAAACACGGGGGAATAAGGTACGATGGGGAGGTTAACACGGAGGGATAAGGTACGATGGGGAGGTAAACAGGGGGGTTGAGTCACAGTGGGAGATAGACAAAGTGAATATGGCAAGTGAGAGAGGTAAATAGAGGGGATAAGGCAAAATGGGAGGTAAACACGGGGGGATACGGCATTATGGGAGGTAAACATGGGGGGATAAGGAGCAATGGGGAGGTAAACAGGGGGGTTAAGGCACAATGGGAGGCAATCAAAGGGAATATGGCACGTTGGAGAGGTAAACAGGGGGGGCAGGGCACAAAGGAAGGTAAACACAGGGGGATGAGCCACAATGTGAGTAAAGAAAAGTGGGGTGAGGCACAATGGGAGGTAAACACGGGGGGATAGGGAACAATGGGAGGTAACCAGGGGGGGAGAGGCAAAATGGGAGGAAAACAAAGGGGATCTGGCACATTGGAGAGGTAAACAGGGGGGATTAGGCACTTTGAGGAGGTGAACAGGGGGGATGAGGCACAAAGGGTAGGGTTTCTAGTGGGTTATGGCGCAATGGCGAGGTTAATAGGGGGGATAGGTCACGATGGGATGTGAACAAAGGAAGTATGGCACGTTGGAGAGGTAAACAGGGGGGATATGGCCCAATGGGGCACTATTGGGCACCATGGCTGTATAAGGCACAATGGAACGTAAACACGGGGGGGACAAGGCACAATGGAATGTAAACACGGATGGACAAAGCAAATGGGAGGTAAAAACGGGGCATAAGGCACAATGGGACGTAAACAAATGGGATATGGCACATTGGGGAGGTGAACAAAGAGATAGGGCACATTGGGGAGGTAGACAGGGGGGGGTAAGGCGCAAAGGGTAGGTAAACTGGTGGGATATGGCACAATGGGGTGGTAAGCAAGCAAGGTATAAGGCACAATGGGGAGGTACACAAGGGGGACAAGGCACATTGCGGAGGTAAACAGGGTGTAAAAGGCGCATTGGTGACGTGCAGGGGGGTGGTAACGAGTAGCTACCACTGACAGCAAACATCATGTTTGAAAAAAGCAGAACTGACGTACAAGGCTACCATACATCAATCTAAAAAGCAGAGGCCTAAAGAGTCACCACCATGCCCCAAACATATATGAGCAGTGCATGGTGGCGGTTTAGAATATACGTACCTTTCAGCATATTCTTGAAGCGCTCTCAAAGATTGCTCGGTGTGCGACGGAGCGTAGCAGGCAAGGTACCACGTGAGATATGCTCTGATTGCGTCTAGCTGAGAGGCACCCAGTTTGTCTGCCACTAAGAAGATGAGAATCTGAGGCAGGAGAACGAAGCATACGGGAGCATTGAGGGCATCTATTGTGTTCAAGGTCAGAAACCGTGGCATGCAAGGCCATCACACATTGCAAATCCGAGGTGTTGGACACCCAATATAGTCACATTACCCACCTGCATCACAGCTCTGTGTTCAAATGCTGCAGTCTGAGCACCCGACACGAAATACTCGTTGGATGGCAGCCGCATACTGCTGATTCGGGTCACTCCCCTGAGCTCTTTCAGCCGCCTGCACCACAAGCATGCAGTATGATTTGTAAATGGAACAGAGACACTATTCAAGGTGCTTTTATTGGAATCAATTGAACCAACAAAACCAAAACACAAAGCTACTCACTGGTCCAGAGTGGGTAGCGCTGCAGGAATCAGCATCCGAATGCTCCTCACGATGTGGTCCAGCAATCCAAGGTCAGCTTGGTGCATTATATCCGGCATCACTGCCAAGTACGGATTGCCCCACAGCGTTCCCTCGACGGTCCACATCCAAAGCGCACACTACGGGATAGGATTGAGAGAGCACGAGGATGATGACACAGAGGGGAAACCTGTAAATTTTCAGGGTCTAGGTGCTCTGGTTCAGGGTACTAGTACAACAACCCTAAATGGTCATCCAGAGGACAACAACCTAGTTGTCAATTGGATATGAGCAGTGGGGATATTAGCAGTGAGGATATGAGCAGAGGGGATATGAGCAGTGAGGATATGAGCAGTGGGGATATGAGCAGTGGGGATATGAGCAGTGGGGATATGAGCAGTGGGGATATGAGCAGTGGGGATATGAGCAGTGAGGATATGAGCAGTGGGGATATGAGCAGTGGGGATATGAGCAGTGGGGATATGAGCAGTGAGGATATGCGCAGTGGGGATATGAGCAGTGGGGATATGAGCAGTGGGGATATGAGCAGTGGGGATATGAGCAGTGGGGATATGAGCAGTGAGGATATGAGCAGTGAGGATATGAGCAGTGGGGATATGAGCAGTGGGGATATGAGCAGTGGGGATATGAGCAGTGGGGATATGCGCAGTGGGGATATGAGCAGTGGGGATATGAGCAGTGGGGATATGAGCAGTGGGGATATGAGCAGTGGGGATATGAGCAGTGGGGATATGAGCAGTGAGGATATGAGCAGTGGGGATATGAGCAGTGGGGATATGAGCAGTGGGGATATGAGCAGTGGGGATATGAGCAGTGGGGATATGAGCAGTGAGGATATGAGCAGTGGGGATATGAGCAGTGGGGATATGAGCAGTGGGGATATGAGCAGTGGGGATATGAGCAGTGGGGATATGAGCAGTGAGGATTTGAGCAGTGAGGATATGAGCAGTGGGGATATGAGTAGTGGGGATATGACCAGTGGGGATATGAGCAGTGGGGATATGCGCAGTGGGGATATGAGCAGTGGGGATATGAGCAGTGGGGATATGAGCAGTGAGGATATGAGCAGTGGGGATATGAGCAGTGAGGATATGAGCAGTGGGGATATGAGCAGTGGGGATATGAGCAGTGGGGATATGAGCAGTGGGGATATGAGCAGTGGGGATATGAGCAGTGGGGATATGAGCAGTGAGGATATGAGCAGTGGGGATATGAGCAGTGAGGATATGAGCAGTGGGGATATGAGCAGTGGGGATATGAGCAGTGGGGATATGAGCAGTGGGGATATGAGCAGTGGGGATATGAGCAGTGAGAATTTGAGCAGTGAGGATATGAGCAGTGGGGATATGAGCAGTGGGGATATGAGCAATGGGGATATGAGCAGTGAGGATATGAGCAGTGGGGATATGAGCAGTGGGGATATGAGCAGTGGGGATATGAGCAGTGGGGATATGAGCAGTGAGGATATGAGCAGTGGGGATATGAGCAGTGGGGATATGAGCAGTGGGGATATGAGCAGTGGGGATATGAGCAGTGGGGATATGAGCAGTGGGGATATGAGCAGTGAGGATTTGAGCAGTGAGGATATGAGCAGTGGGGATATGAGCAGTGGGGATATGAGCAGTGGGGATATGAGCAGTGAGGATATGAGCAGTGGGGATATGAGCAGTGGGGATATGAGCAGTGGGGATATGAGCAGTGGGGATATGAACAGTGAGGATATGAGCAGTGGGGATATGAGCAGTGGGGATATGAGCAGTGAGGATATGAGCAGTGGGGATATGAGAAGTGAGGATATGAGCAGTGGGGATATGAGCAGTGGGGATATGAGCAGTGGGGATATGAGTAGTGGGGATATGAGCAGTGGGGATATGAGCAGTGAGGATTTGAGCAGTGAGGATATGAGCAGTGGGGGTATGAGCAGTGGGGATATGAGCAGTGGGGATATGAGCAGTGAGGATATGAGCAGTGGGGATATGAGCAGTGGGGATATGAGCAGTGGGGATATGAGCAGTGGGGATATGAGCAGTGAGGATATGAGCAGTGGGGATATGAGCAGTGGGGATATGAGCAGTGGGGATATGAGCAGTGGGGATATGAGCAGTGGGGATATGCGCAGTGAGGATATGAGCAGTGGGGATATGAGCAGTGAGGATATGAGCAGTGGGGATATGAGCAGTGGGGATATGAGCAGTGGGGATATGAGCAGTGGGGATATGAGCAGTGGGGATATGAGCAATGAGGATTTGAGCAGTGAGGATATGAGCAGTGGGGATATGAGCACTGGGGATATGAGCAGTGGGGATATGAGCAGTGAGGATATGAGCAGTGGGGATATGAGCAGTGGGGATATGAGCAGTGGGGATATGAGCAGTGGGGATATAAGCAGTGGGGATATGAGCAGTGAGGATTTGAGCAGTGAGGATATGAGCAGTGGGGATATGAGCAGTGAGGATATGAGCAGTGGGGATATGAGCAGTGAGGATATGAGCAGTGAGGATATGAACACGAGCTGCGTCGCTTCAACGTACGTCAACATCAAATGTGGAGAAACGCTTCAAGCTCGATTCCCCACGTGGACGAGTCGTCGGTAGGGGTTGATCTCGAATCAATTGTTGCAGCTCCGGCGTGCGCATGTTGTTCTCGAGGTGGACAGATGACAAGTTCTCCTGGCAACGATCACACAAAGCACCACCATCAAAGCAGAAAGGGTATGGGGAGGACGGTTCAAAGATGTAAGGAACAAACAAGGAACCAGGGTGACTAATGCATGTGCAAAGCCACAAAAAGGACAGTACATGTGCAATGGTCACATCAAGAAAGGGCTGAGAGAAGCTTGATTGATAAAACGGGCTACACAAGGCAGCATTCGCAAGTTGGCCTGAAAGGGCGGCACCACACCTTGTCCACATAGCAAAGGCTGCATGGCTTGCTGCACCCCTGCCCGGATAGCGTGCAGGTGACTTTCCCTGACTCAGGGTAGTCACACGCCCAGCCGTAAAACATGGGGATCACGTTGTGCAAATCGCCGTCGGCATCCTCTAGCGTTACCCCTCTGCGGTCGGGTGGAGGTAGAGTTGAGCATGAGGGGACACGCGGAGCATGCATCAGAGAATGGGGTGAATGACCAGTAGACAAGTGACCATGGGAGGTACTTCTAAACGTCTGGATGACAAACGGGAAAAAAACAGCACTGGGCGAGTGGGCAAGGTAGGGATTTCAGCATTGTGCGAGTGAGCAAGTTCAGCATTGGCCGAGTGAGCAAGGGCGGGGGGGGGAATCAGCATTGGGCGAGTGAGCAAGGGGGAGGGGGGTCCAGCATTGGTCGAGTGAGCCAGGGGAGGTGGTGGGGGGGGGGAAGAGGGGGGGTGATGGGGGCAGCATACTTCGTGTCAGCAAGTGGTGGGAGCTGGGGGGTCCAGCATTGGGGGAGCGAGCAAACCTCTCTTTGGCCTGTCGAATAGGTTCCATTATCTTGGCGATGCATTTGTTGAAAAGCTCCGTCTTCACTCGAGACGGCATTCCCTTGGGGGGGATGGGCAATAACGCCAGCAGCGAATGTCCCGCTTCCCCCCACCGTTTGGGCAATGGAATGTTGGCAAGAGTCATCATTACTGGGTGCGCCTTCTTACGCCCGTTGTTGCTCAGGTGTGTCACGTCACTGTAGAATAGTAAGGCCGCAATAACCACCTCTGGTCCGACGAATGCCTGCCACAAGATAATAGGGGTAAATGTTGGATCGTTCCACCAACAATATGAGGGTGACACGCCATGGTCCATTCAAGTCATTTGACGACAACTTGCACATTCGGAACATAAGCACAAACTACAATGCGGTGCCAAAAACACGAGCTAGGGTCCACAAAGGTCAGTACCTGCGCGTCATTCCACCATGTGCCAGTTTCAGCCGTTGTGTATGTTCGCTCGTTTGTGTCTCCGTCAACAACGACTTTAGGCCTGAAGCGGAAGCCCTTGGCATTGTGTGGGTGGCCAAACATTCGTGCTAGTTCCTGAGAGCGAATAGTGATGAAACCGGGTCAGAAGGTTGGATAGCAAGGGAATGTAAACTTTACAGAAATTAGGCTGGGAGAGAAATGGAACACAAGCAAAAACGTATGAGACCACAACATCCTACAAAACAGTGTTCTACATGAAGGGAACACAGGCAGAAAGTTGTGAGAGCAAAACAGCATATAAATCAGTGCTGGAGAGGAAGGTAAGAAGAGGAGCAAAATATGAGCGCAAAACAGCTCCGAAGAAATGGTGGTTCGGAGAGCGGGGTCTCACAGACAGCAAGGAGAGAGTGCAAAACAGCATACAAAACAGGGTTGTAGAGGAAGGGAACACCAGCATTAAGGTATGGTTTCAAATCAGCATAGGAAACAGGGTTGGTTTGAGAGCAATTGAACACAGGCACTAAGGTGTGAGAGCAAAACAGCATAGGACGCAGGGTTGTAGAGGAAGGGAACGCAAGAATTAAGGTATGGGAGCAACATAGCATAGGACACAGGGCTTGTATGCATACGAGCAGTAAGGGTGTTGGAGCAACACAACAGGGTGGGAGATGACGAGCACTGTCAGATTAAAGGTATGAGAGCAACACAGCTTTGAAAACATGCCTGGTCGGATAGCACTTGAACAAAAGCAGTAAGGTGTGTGTGCAAAACAGCATACAAAACATGGTGCGAGAGGAAGGGTGCATCAACTTGTGAGGTATGAGAGCGCTTCAGAACAGACGCCCAGTTGAAAGAGAGATTGAACAAAAGCAGTGGGGTATGAGATGTAATCAGCATAGATTAGCGGGCATGAGAGAGAAAGCACACACATATTACAGATTATGGAAGTAAGTGAACACAAGCAATTGCGTATGAGAGCAGCATCACAGATAACATGGTTGTAAAGCAAGGTCACACGCGCATCAAGACTAGCATAATTGATATAGGGGTGGGAGAGAGCATAAACAAAAAACGATGGCTCACCCGCATGATGTCCCGGTGGTAGAGGACTTGTGGTGGGTAGCCCTCTACGACGAAAGTTGTGGTGAGGAATCCTCTTCCGGTGCCCGCGATATACTCGAGCTGAAGGCGCTCCAGGTCTCGGCATGTCCTCAGATTCTCAGCAACTAGCACATGCGCCAACTCTGGAACAAGCAGCAGTTGTATCAGTTTGCCCTTGTCCATCTTCGATAGGCTCATTCCCCCATTGGCGGTGTCTAGAAATTCCAGCAGCTTCAGTAGGGCGGGGTGCCAGTTGACTCGGGGTCCAGGAGGAGTAGCACCTACGTCCGATTCCACCATGCCACTGGAGCAGGAGGTGTCAGCAGCCATACATGGGGCTGGGGTGTCCTCTCCATCACTTTCCGCTGCCTCACTCTGCTCCGTGCGCTCGCTTTCCATCTCCTCCGCACCTCCGCCATCCATCTCTTCTGTGCCCCGGTTAACACTCTGGGGAACGTCTGTTGAACTGCTGCCTTCATTTTCGGATTGCACTAGATCATCCACAGAGACGTTGATGGCGCCTCCGCCTGGGGACCCACGTCCGCGACATGGGATGTAAAAAACCACTCCACCACGCCGATCGAAACGGGCAGGGGCGGGTGGGGCGGGTGCACTATAGTGCCCCTCAGAGCACTCCTTGTTGCCTGCTAGGTGCCTCCCCAACTTTTGCGAGTTGGCAAAATGAGCACTACAGAACCTACACCTGACGAAGGTGGGACAGTCCATCCCCTAGGCCGACCTAATACGAGCTGACGTTAATCTTACAACGGTTTGTGACTGCATTGCGGATTGAGAGCCTTAATAGCTCACATCAAAGACATCCTTGAGGCGTGACGCTACGAGGTCAGAGCGATAGATACAAGTGACAACACCCGAGGCGCACTGATCGCCTATGCATCAGCAATCAACCAACCCCTGTCGGGTCGCGCTCGTTACACCGTGGGAAAATCATGGCGGGAATGACCTAAAACGAAGGTGTCTACTGCAACGCTGGTTGCCAAGACACTCAGCTTCGAATTAGGTTTTCGAATCTGAACTTTCGAACGGGTAAGGCTTGTACTCTTTACTAGCTGCTCTGAGGTTGGACTGTGTACAACCCCTAAAAACATGTGATATTGTTGGTTGTAATAAACCACAAAGTGTTCCAGCATTTATGATTCCTTGGACTTTAGTGACCTACATAACACAGCAACATAGGAAGAAACTAAGATAACCTTCTTCACATGCTTAATTCCAATGTTTGGTCTGTGCTTTGCATCAGAACCCAAATGCAGGCAACTATGCTGAAAGTTCATGCTTATCTATGACGACAACGCATGAAAGGCCTATCAAACCTTAATGGTTTGACCTGAATATGATAGGGGGATCTCGAATTAGTGTGATGAGACTCCACTATGAGTTTCAGAAAACAATTCCAATGTTTGGTCTGTGTTTTGCATCAGAACCCAAATGCAGGCAATTCTGCTGAAAGTTCATGCTTATCTATGACGACAAAGCATGAAAGGCCTATCAAACCTTAATGGTTTGACCTGAAAATAATAGGGGGATCTAGAATTTGTGTGATGAGACTCCCCTATGAGTTTCAGAGCTTAATTCCAATGTTTGGTCTGTGTTTTGCATCAGAACCCAAATGCAGGCAATTCTGCTGAAAGTTCATGCTTATCTATGACGACAAAGCATGAAAGGCCTATCAAACCTTATTGTTTAGACCTGAAAATGATAGAGGGATCTAGAATTAGTGTGATAAGACTCCCCTAAGAGTTTGAGAGATTAATTCCAATGTTTGGTCTGTGTTTTGCATCATAACCCAAAATGGTGACACAAAATGGTGCAGGTTGCTGAAGCATCCAAACGTGAGTAGGCAGACAGCCAACATAGTTGATGATAACAGAAGCACAAACTTCAAAACCAAAAAATAACATTCTTGATATTCACACCTGCCCATGATAGCCAGAGAATGAGTTGTGATGTCATAGGAAGTTCATTGGAGTTGCTTGATATATTGTTCTTGGTGAATTTCACCCAGAAACATTTTTAAATCCTAAACTGTAGAGGATGCCTACGGAAGATGCTAGAGCCATTCAGAAGATGATTTGCATCACTAACCTCTCAGTTATCTCTGTTTAGAGGTACGCCTGAAGGGAGGCATTTGGAGCCAAAAACCACCCTCAAATGAGTTTTTTGCTACTATCTCCTTTGTTGTACGTTATGGACAGGCTAAATCTATCGTATCATAAAAAAAATAACACAACTAAAAAGTTCCCAAGACTTATCCAATTCTGTGGGCTCCAATTTGGCTTGTTTCAGATCCTTATTGTGCTATTTAGTCAGTATGTAAGCACCAAAGTTTGCTCATCTTGACAGTTATGCATGTTACTGGCGACATCTATGCGCGACCCCCATGTGGCGACCGTCGCTGCGACACTGTTCATGCAGCCCGAAATCTTTACGGAATGTTTGCGAAATTTGTGAACCATATTTTTATAGCTATATGAGGACTTTTTTTACGCCCGTCTGCGTCCTGTTTGATTTCGTCGGGCAAATCTTGAGATTTGCTAGGCGCTTGTCTATTTCGCGTGCGCAAGTCTACGTCGACACGGAAATGCACGTTCCCCGTCTGAGGCTCCATAGATTCCTGGGTCATACCACTGCCGATGAACAGTCCAGACATGGTCTTATAGGAACAGTTTGCCAGCCTGGTTGCAATACGCGCCAATCCACACTCACCAATCTGCCAGCTAC